CCCGGCAGCTCGAGAGCCTCCAGCCTGGACTCAAGCCTGCAAACATGTCAATGAGCACAATCAATGCACACTGCTCCCAGCGAGTCTTCCCTTCCTCTCTCTGAATTTACAGCTTGCTTTGTGAAAAAGTCTCTTTAAAAGACTCTTCCTCACATCCCCTTCCCTCGCCATCTGTCTCCCACCTCACAACATTCTGCAAGGAAGTGGCTCACAAAGCCCAGCGCTGCACTGGCACGGCAGAGTGCCCAGGCTGGTGTGGCTCTGCTTTACACGCCCAAAGAGCCACTGCTCCTCCACCTGCCCCTGAGCAGGAACCCAGCTCTGGAGCACCACTGCTCCAGGTGCACCAAACCCCTGGGAGAGCCACAAGTGGCACTGCTGTCCTGCTGCCATCATGAAAGGCTGATCCTCTTGGGCTTGCTCGGGCAAATGCAAAGCATTCCCAGCTCACCATGCCCAGCTGAGCAGCAGGAAAGGCAGGGGAGCAGGGACACAGCACCAGCCCCAGCAGTGAGGCACTATCTGGCTGCTCAAGAGCTCCACACCCACAGCAGACCTGCTCCTCAGTGGGGAGATGTGCAGCCACAGGAACAGAGCTTCCCGGGCACCAGAGGGGCTCTCAGGGCTCTCTGTGCTCCCCACAGGTCTCCAGGCTTTGCCCTGCTATTTCTGCCAAACAGGGCAACCCCGCTGGGTATGGGAGCTGAGGCAACAAGGAGGAGGCTGAGGCAGCTCAGCCAGCAGCCAGAAGCTGAGGCACCCACCAGACAGAGCTCCTAAGGTGCAGCTACAAAGACACTACACAGACACGGATGGGCTGGATGGATCCAGTGCCAGGCAGCAAACAGCTCCTTGTGGGAAACTTCTCCACACAACCACGAAGGTTGGGATCCAAAGACCACTGAGTCTTGTCAAGACTTTGGAAATGCAGACGGGATGAAAGGCACAAAATCAAAGCCTGGTATTACTGCAACCAACCAAGAGCAAAACATCAGACACACCCTGCAGACACCATTGTGTGCACCCCAGAAAACCTTCACAGCCCCCATGCCTGTCTCTGCCAAATAATGAACAATTATTAGAGGGGTGCACAAGGGATCAAAAAAAAAAACCCAAAAAAACCCAAGCCACATTTTGACTAGAGAGCTCCAGCCATAAGTTTAATTTGGTTCCTGTGGGTTTCAACATCCATCACAATCACAAGGAATACATTTCCCAGGCTAGTTAAAGACACAGCCTATGTATTTATCTCCATTTCAGACTGCAAATATGGAGTTAAATGAAAACTCACCGAAGACTACTTTACATCTGAAAAAATATTTGCCAATGGACACAACGGATTATTTTACTGGCTGCATAACCTCAAGCTGCCTTCTGCTCAAGGCTGCTACATCCCCACTGTTCCTACTAATGACAAGAGTGTTTCTTCTATATGCTCTTAAAGTCTTGCAACAGTCTCAAAATTATGTGGATTTTTCTGACAGGAGTTTAAATTGCATATTCTTCCTGATTCAAGCCAAGCTGTGCAGGGGAGAAACAAGGCTCAGCACATGCAAGCGTGCTGCCACGACTCCTCACCTACTACTTTTCAGGACACATTAGCATCACAGACATCTTGCTGCCTGCCGCATCTTTGCATTCACCGAGCACCTGCCAAAATTCACAGGCTGCGGAAGCTGTGCTGAATCACTTCCCAGCTCTGGCTCCTATCGCTGGGATTGAAGTTATGAGATCAAAGAGGAAAGGAATGCAGAGCATGTTGTTTGCATGTCACCAATGCCATTTTGCTGCAAGGCAGCTAGAGAAAGACACACACAGACAGAAATCATTGGCAGCAGGAACAGGAGTATAGCATGAAAGCCTGGCCATGGAAAGACCAACACTGCAAGCTGGGTGTTTTACAAAGATAAAGCTCCAGCTAAGCCCAAGCACTCCAAAGAATCCACTGTCATAGCCTGAAAAATATCATCAGGAAGAGGCCACCTGATGCCAGTGGATGTGCTGCTCCCTGGACATCCTCACGCTGCACAGACTCTGTAACCCACTCCTGCCCTTATTTCGTGGGTCTCATGTTGATGTTCTTACATGTCTGTCTGCTGGAATCAAGAGACTGTTGAAGAGCCTTTGTTCTAAATTCATGTTTTTAAGTTCCTTTGTAGCTCACAAAGGTGGGCTTAAAAGAATACCACCATGCCTCCCAGGAGTCAGAGAAAGGCCCAAGGCAATGCCAAAAAACCAAAATTCATTATTTGCTACCTAAGCCAATTTCATACATCTGGCAGGACCTGAATCAGAATAATTTTGATTTCTAGGATCTGGCAGCACTAATGATAGAAATAAGTTTCTGTTACTTATATTACTTTTTAAACTCCTTTTCTCACAGTGCTCATGAGAAATAGATAGATCCTGCCTGAACTCATGCAGGATCAACAGAAGAGCTGAGTTTCTGGCTGTGGAAAGCTGGCTTAATGGCAGGATGAGCTGGAAGTCCAGTGTGATTGTCAGCTTCCAGGGTTGGACATGAGAGGCTGGAAGAAAACAAGCACCTTAGTTTGTAATTAGGAAATACAGTCAGGAAATCACCGAGGTCACAGTTGGCCACGTTCCCCCAGGTCTCTGCAGAGCTCCTTGGTGTGACATTAACAGATGTAACCATGACAGACTGAGCACAGCCAGACCCTGGCAGCAGAGCCGAGAGCTGCGAGCACATCGTGAGTGATGGCAGAGATCATCATGGTGTAAGTGACCCCCTGAACTCTGCAGAACAGGGCAGTCTCCTGGAGCCCCTACTGCAAAGCACTTCTCCAGGACAATTTCCACAGGAGCAGAGCAAAACCATAGCTCGCATATCGTTTTTTGAGTCAGAGAGATACTAGGGTTCAATAAAGGATCAGACCACATGCACAGCCTAGAGATTTGTGAGGAATACAGAAACACCATTCAGGACTCCTCCTCTGAAATGGAAGCGCTGTAACAAGGCAGCCTCGATGCTGTGGGTCAGGCCCAGCTCAGGACAACACGCTCACACCACACAGTGTGGAATTCACCCAGCAGGTCCACCCTCGCAGCAGGGCTGGCAAGTGGGGTTCTCCAGCACCACAGACTTCAGAAACACTCAACTCCTGCCAAACACAGCAGTGTCTGGTTCACTGGCCATACGACCACTGGAATGTGTCCGCACTGCCTGACAGCGCCTGGCCACGGCTCACACAGTCCGGGAGAGACCCACAAGGCTCTACCCCAGCCCCAGCCCATGTTCTGCATCTGCTGTGGATGTTCCAGTGCCTTCATTCCCCTAGTGCCTGAAGGAATCCCAACCCCTGCAGGCATGAGCGCTTGTTATCCCTCTCCTAACCATCACCTGAAGGCAGCAGAGCAACTCCACATCACCGTGTCAACTCCCATCTGCAAAGCACCTAGAGTCGTGTGCTCTTAGCCACTTGCTTCTCATCTTGCTCCAGCACCATCTGTTTTCCTCCTCTTGCCTCTTCCCCGTGCCAACCCGAAGCCTCCAGAGATGTCAGGATTTGAAATCCACCCATATATGACCAAGCCGAAATTACATTCCCGCGGGCTAAACCACCCAAAGCGATGAGTTCTGCAGTCACTGTGTGCGCTGGACACTCGCTCCGCTGCCCAGGGACAGCTGCTCGCGCCATGGCGCCCCTACCCTGCCCCATCCCTTCCTCACTTCTCTAAACTTCGGTGCCCACCAGCCCCCGCAGCCGTCGGTGAATCCGGACACTTCTGCCGGTGCGTGTCCGAGGCAGCACCACACCACCCGCACCCCTCGTCTCCCGCCGCCCCTCGCCCCCGCCCCACTCACGGCGCCCGGGGGCAGCAGCACGGCGCCCGCCACCCCATCGCCCCCCGCCGCCTTCTCCTTCTCCTTGTCCGGCTTGAGCGCCGCGGGCGGCTGCTGGACGCCGATCTTCACCATGGCCCCGCTCCGCCGCCGCCGCCGGCCCCGGCACCGCCCCGGGGAGGGGCCGCGCCGCGCCCGCCCTCAGCGCACGGAGCCCGCCACGGGCACCGGGCGGGTCCCAGGCCCCCAGAGCCGCCCCGAGCCCCTCAGGGCCGCCCCGGTCCCCCAGAGCCGCCCCGGTCCCTCAGAGCCTCCCCGGTGCCCCCGAGTCGCCCCTGTCCCTCAGAGCCGCCCCGGTCCCCCAGAGCCGCCCCGGTCCCCCCGAGCCGCCCCGGTCCCCCAGAGCCGCCCTGGTCCCTCAGAGCCTCCCCGGTGCCCCCGAGTCGCCCGTGTCCCTCAGAGCCGCCCCGGTCCCCCAGAGCCGCCCTGGTCCCTCAGAGCCTCCCCGGTGCCCCCGAGTCGCCCCTGTCCCTCAGAGCCTCCCCGGTCCCCCAGAGCCGCCCCGGGCCCTGGCAGCACCGTCCGGCCCCGCTCTGCCCGGCTGGGCTGCGGGACACGGAGCGGGTGCAGTGGCACCCCGGGATCTTGGGGTCCGGACACGGTCAGTACTGCCCGTGGCACTGCTGACATCGGGACAGCAAAGGGGAGAAAACAAAACAAAACTAAACAGCCCCCGAGCCGAAAGATGCATCAGCCTGCAGCAGATGTACACAGAGAGCAGGGGTTACTCTGGGGAAAGCCGAGACAGCCCAGCCGCTCTTGGCTTGGAGGCCACAGAACAGAAGCCGTGAACAGAGAGCACTCAGGTGGCCTTTCCCCCAGGATCAGCTCTGGACGGCACCACAGATGGATTACTTTCATCCTGGGGACAGTGACCCAGAAAATGCCCTGTCTGCCAGAAGCAGAGTGTGGCATGCATGAGAGAACTTGGGGGAGGGTTGGGTTGCTTTTGTGCCACCAGATGACGGCTGGGGAGCAGCAGGGAACACAGCAAGGAGTAAAGAACACATGCTGACACTTTCGTTAAGTAACAAAATGGAAAAAAATACATTAACAAAACCCTCTCTGCCAGGTACAGGTAATAAGGAAAGTAGGAAATTGTCAGTGGATAAACACAGCACTACCCTTACATTGATTTGGTCTACTTAAACATAGAATTTATTTATAATAAAGTTGTTATGAGCATTTTCTTTCGATCCAGACGGGTTCATTATGTACTGAGTGCTTTACATCATGTTTTGAACTAACCCATTGATAAATTAGTGCTAAATTTTATTTGTAAAAGGCATCTTTGGCAAGGATTCAACATTGACTCACAACAAGAATTGCTCATAGTGCTGACTTACATTGTTCAATATTTGGAGCTGTTTGGTCCTCCCAGCATCCCACCCTGTGGGTAAAAGTGCCATGGGGATTGCAAGTTTTATTTCACACAGAGATAAGGGGCTGCATTTCCACAGAAGCCGCTAATTTCAGGAGCTCAAACTGAGACAAGATGGTCCCGAGTTTATGGAAATGGGAGTGTTTACAGCCAGATCCAAACATCTCACACTCAGCATGCAAACCAGGAGACAGCCCACCAGGGTCTGTCCTGACTAAAGCTGTAAGGCAAATGCTAACTCTTCTAATCACATGTAGCCTTAGAGCAAGGAAAGGCCCGGAACAGGGCAGAAATCCCCTTGTGTCCCTCTCAATCCACCAGATCATCCTGCTGCCCAGACTGTGCTCTGCCCTGCCCCTTTTTCAGGTTGTTTAGCTGCACACTTCCTCAGGGACAGCCCTCTGTGTGACAAACGCTGTGTTACCTCCTCCAGCCCAGGGGTCCACTGGGCAGCTCTTGTCACAGAGAAGAAACCTAAAGAGAAGAAAAACATCCTTTAGAGAAGAAACATAAAGACAGGATGCAGCTGAAGAAAGCGATTACGAAGCCTTACATTTGATAAAACCAGAGAAAGCTTGACACTAAAATCTTCAGTTTAAAGGCAGAGGTTAAAGAAAGTTGGGGTTTATTCTTTCCATTTATATCTAATGAGACTCTGACCCCCCACCCCAGTCAGTCTGCAGGACTGGTAGGACAAGTCTGCAGTCAGGATCCTCTTCTAATATTTGGGTTATTTGTGACATACTGAGAGAAATAGGCACAAGGCTCTTGATGTTCACCAGGGCTCCTGACACAACTAGTCTATTGATTTTCTCAAAGGCAAACAAATGGAAAGGCAGCATCACACCATTGCCAAGCCAGCAGCACAGCACCAGGCAGCAGTGACAGTGTGACTCTGCCCATTCTTGCATCAGGTGCTGGCCTGTTAACTGCTGAACCAGCCTGGTCCTCTCCAGAGCACAACTGATCTCCTGTTTCAAGTGAGGAGAAGTATTGATCAAATATGTGAGACTGACATAGGTGTTGGGGTGTCCCCTGTGCACAGCTGGGGCCAGCCTGGCTGTTCTCCAGCAGGAAACCTCACCTGGCAGCCACTGCCCTCCCTGCAGGCTCTGCACCTCGTGGCCAGCACAGCCTGAACTGCAGCACCCTGTGCCGCATGAACTGGCCCCCAGAAGGACACCCAGAGCAAGAACTGCTCCCAGGGAGGGCACAGAACCTGCAGGACGCTGTTAAGGTTCACGTGTTCTTTTTTCTTTTATACATGATAAAATGCACAAGTGCCTCACACAATCTTCAAGTTTGCAGTATTTGTGAACATAGCTGGAATACTGGAATATTACTTCTGCTGTACCATAAAAAAACTGCAGGACTGACAAGGAAGGCAAGTTATTATCACCATAACAATGAACCCAATAATTATAAAATGGGTCAACATTAAGGGTGTAAACCGTTAAGAATTTTTACTTATTTAACATTTCAAGACTGGGTCTCAGTCACAGCCACTGCGTTCTGTGGCGTCCCCGGATTTCAATTACATCCCTGGATAAATGGCTTCGCAAGCATTAAGAAAAATCACCCAAGTTATCACAGGCCAAGTTTCAGACTAAAAGATTTCTCAGTAAGAAATCTCTGGCTACAGGCCCTTCAGTCAGAGGCTTAGAGGATAAACACTGACAATGAACTCAAGGCTTCTAACACAGCTTAAAACCGTGTCTCTTGCCCTGCAGTGGAGAAGTGACATGCTGCTTACAGAACATCTTGCTCAAATCTACTGTCTTTTCTATTTTTAAGCAAGCACGTTTCTATTTAAAACTGCCACCTTACCGACTTCCTTAAAGCCATCTGCTGGTTTATTAGTCTGTGACAACAAAGTTTCCATCTCTGAATGTAATTAATGGAATTCCAGGGACAATTTAGTTGACTGACCTTTCATTAAGAATAGCAGTGTGATAGCACTTCTCAAGTAATGAAGAAGTGGGACCTTTAAAAACCTTTATTAAACTGTCCTCTACCTTTCCACTTCTCAGTTTTCAAAAAAGCACTTATGTAAAAAAACCCAAACAGACCAATATTAAAGAGACAGCACAAGATAATTGCTTTAATATATTCCGAGCCAACCAAAATGTGTTTGTCATGTATTGAACTGCATTTATTTCTGAGGTCTTAGCTGTTGTCCCTCACTGTATCAGACTGGAAGGAAATGAGAATTTTAGAGTCCTTAAATCCTTCTGCTTTTCCACTGCAGTTCCAATAAGGGCTTGTACTAGAAAGCGTGCCTAAAAATGAACAGAACTCTGTAATGTGCTGAAAATATACTTTTATTTTCCCTTCTTATGCTTGATCAATTAAACAGAAAGAGGAAGACAGGTTGGGCTAAAAAAAAAAGAAACTGCTAAAAAAATCATAATCACTCTTAAAGGAGCAGACCACAAATGCAGAGGATGTACTCATGGTTTTTTGCTATTCCTTACACAATCTATTCCTAATTACCACACATAATTGCATGAGGTAAAGCAATTACCTGTAGCCAAAGGTACAGAATCAATCCAGTGGTTTCCATGGAAAGTTACAGCTTTCATCTGAACTGAACTGAGCTGAATTTCTTGTCACTCCTAGGCACCTGCCACACCAGCCAGGGCAATGTGTCAATCCTGGTACAGCTATCAGGGACCAGATCCTTTGTTCCTTCTTTTCTTTTCTTTGAAAAAAAAATCCTAATGGTTCAGCAGCACCAGGAAGCCTTGGGCTACCTAGGAGGGTAAATGGAAAACTATTACCATTATGTACTTCAAAAATAACAAGAGAGTAATTTTCTCCTAATAGTAGAAATTATCCTGGATTAGTCTCCCTCCTGGAAACTAGCAAGCTCCAGGTATCTTGGTATTGTGTCTTTTACAAACTCTGGTGCATAAAAGGCCAACACTTTGCATCCTTCAGTGTAGTAGCTTAAAAAAAGTATTCACATTTCAAAAGGTGTGCACAGACCAGATGCACAGTGGCTTTGACCTGAACAATGTTCAGTTAACCACTGGTGGCAGGACTGCTGAAAGCCAGAGCCAGGGGCTTGTTAACATTTGGTTGCCTGTTGTGGTACCAAAACCCCTTCACACCATGTGCCAAAAAGCAGGGAGGGATGGTGAGAAGAGGAAGGGAAAATGTGGTTTGGAGACAGCACCCAAAATACCTAAGCTGGATTTTTATGTCATGGGATAAGCAGGGAGCATACTCAAGACAAAAAAATTACCAGGACTGTTGTATAGTTCATACTTTTTATGATTTAGAGGGAGATTTTCCATTGAAGTATCCACAATTTACCTGGAAACTTGTTAGGGGTTCCACAAATCAAAATACTTCAAATTTATGTGATTTCTGGAACCAGCAGGGAGGGCATTCGAGTTGGTGGGGAAGCACTAGGGAAAAGAACAGGATACAAGCCTAAAAACCAAAAAAGCCCAGGAAGTGGGAAGGGCTATATTTTCCTACCTTTACATATGAATGCAAGTGTTAAAACACAGCTTAGGCACGAGGGGAGAAAGGGGCTGTATGGGACATGCTGGTTTAGGATAAAAGGCTGGGGCTAGATTTAAGTAGCTGCTGGAGAAATTGGGTGTGAGGTCTCTGCCCCACGGAGCTCAGCTGCATTCTTGGCCCATTCCCGAGAGCCCCAGCGAGGGACAGAGCTGCAGGTACAAGAGAAGATGTAACCTGAGCTCTCCCTGCCCCTTTCCCTTCAGTCACCTCATTACAGAACTGGGCTTTTTTGCTGTACCTGCACCAACCTTGAAATATTCTGCTTGTCTGAAATTGAAAGAGGCCAAAGGATGTGGAAAACCAGAGACTGAAGCAAAGCCCCCATCCTGTCTGCCAGGGGCCTGCAGACCAGAAGTGTGGGAGGGGATTTGGGAAGACTGGCTTGTGTTCCCCTCACCATAAGGACTATTATCTCAAAGTCATTAGGCCTGGCAAAACCCATCTTCTGGCAGGTGCAGGCAAGTGTTCCCTCACCATGAGCTCTGCCACAGCAGTGTCTGAACCAACATCGTGGGAGGCTCCTTAGTGCAGAGGCAGCACAGCACCAGCCTCAGATGTGGGGAGCCAGGGGAAGCACCCCTGGCTCCAGTTTCTGTGGTGTCGGGTGCCTGGCCCCAAGAAAACGTGCCTGCAATTACTGTTCTGAGCACTGTGCATGTTTTAGTCAGCTGCAGAAAAGCCAGGGAGTTTGAGGAGGCATTAGCATACCAGCAGCCACCAGTTTTCACCAGCTCATGCCCATCCATCAAGCAAGTAACCTACTGAGAGCAAAGGCCCCACCTTTTTCTTATTTCTCAGTGTTCTTCTTCTTCAGTAGGGACTATTTACAAGTGTATGGAATGATAGGACATGGAGTAATGACATCAAATGGACAGAGGGCAAGTTTAAACTAGGTGTTAGGGAGAAATTCTTTAGTGTTAGGATGGTGAGGCATTGGAACAGATTGCTCAGAGGAACTCTGGATGACCCATCCCTGGCAGTGTTTAAGGCCAGGTTAGATGAAACTCTGCTATGGTGGAAGGTTGCCATGGCAAGGGGGTTGGAACAAGATGATGTTTAAGGTCCCTTCCTCTGATTCAGGATTTGTTAAGAGTGAGTGACCACACTCAGCCAGGAGCAGAACACATGGAAGGGAAAGGAACATGACACTGAAAACCAGCACCAGTTCTCCAGCAGAGTTTAGGCTGGGAAGGAGGAAAGAGTCATCTCCTGCCAGCAGTTTGACTGCTGAAGAACTGCTTTGAAAGCTCAGATATAATAACTGTGGTGTTCCATGACAGCCACATCCTCTGAGTGAGTCTGCTGTCTCTTTTAATTAGCATGTCTCCATGAACATCTCAGGATTTTATGTTAGACTCTTAGAGAACTATCATTACCTTGAACCCAAGAGGGATGAAGTATCACAGGACAGTGTAACTAACAATTTAGTATTGTTAATCCCTAGGAGATGGAGGCTTTCCTGTTGTCCAGGTGCAGGACTGCAAAAGGAAGAGCCTGAATCTCCTCTGCCCTCTTTCACTTCTGTCTCTGTTGAATTTTCTGTGTGATGCCCCATCATTGCCCAAAGTATTTGCACAGCAGGCACCCTCCTGCTTGCCCTGGTTCCCTAGATTTGATACTTTGGTGCCTTGCCTGAATGCACTCCTGAAAATACACACCAAGAAGATGAGCAAAAACAAGAACAACAAACCCACAGCCAGCATGTTAAACAGAGACTGAAGTGTGCATGGCAAACACCTGCTGGGATATTCTCAGTTTTGGCTGCTTCTTTGAGAGGGTGACTCGGTGAACAATCCTTTTGTCCAAACACCTGGTTTGTCACACCCAAACCTGCTGCAGATCAGCTCACATGGAAGGAACCTGCCACCCCTCCAGCAGCATGTGACATCCCATCATACCCTTAACTCAGTTAATACCAAACAAAATCTCAGTATTACACAGCTGACAAAGAGTTTGCAGCAAGAGAGAGAACCACTCCTGTTTACAGCATCAGCACATGTTATACAAATTCAAGCAAGCCTGGAGTCATCAGCTGGCAGAATTGATCTAACCTTGCTGTGTAAGAGTCCTCAGCTTTGCAGCCCAAATGAAATAAAAGCCAAACCAAGCAAATTAAACTACATCCAGTAATTGCCATACTCCTGTTCAGAAAGTCCCAGGGACAAGGGAATGAGGATGACATTTGTGATGATGTCATATGTTCAATGATCTTGTTTCTTTGAGAACTGGCATGTGACATGGAGAAGAGCTGCCCATGGATTAGAAGAGGCTCATGGGGTCAACTGGACTCCCATACATTCAGAAGTCAATAGTGCAAATGGACAAGCAATGAAAAAATACTTGGATTAGTTCTAATGCAGTTGATTACATAGGCCCAATAGTCACACAGTTGAAACAAGCTCCCTACACTCTCTTTTTGTCCCCTAACACTGCGTGACACCTTTCTGCCCAGGAATGAGGGCCATCCAAATCAGAAGTATATGCCCCAGTTCACCACTAAATGCCCACACCACACCACAACCTTTCTCTAGCCCCCTTCTCTTTGGAGCATAGGCAGAGCAAATGCAGCTGACTTCATGCACAGAGCATCCTTTAATGGCAGCTTCCATTCCCCTGTGGTTTTACCTTCAAGGCCTACCAAACTGTATCCCTGCCCACCAACCACCCCTGTTCCTGGGAACGTGTATTCCACTTCCATCCCACACATGAGAAACCATCAGCTGGCAGATCATGTGGGCACAGCTTGTCCTTGTCCTGCCAGCAAAGATGCTGCTCTGTAGAGCAGTTAAAGCCCTGTCATTGCCCAAAGGCAATATGTGCAGGTTGATATTACAGCTGGAGTGCCATGAACATATATTCCTCTCATGCTTTTTCAAAACACCCAACACAGCTCTATCAACAGCTGCACAGTTGGTTGTGCCACAGGCAGGCAAAGCAGTTTCAGTACTGTAAGCTGGGACACCAGAACATCCTCCTGAACGTTTCAGGCATGACTGAGGTTACTCTTTGGGGTGTTGCCATAAATTTGGTTCTAAGAAATGGGCAGCCGTATGTTGTTGTTCCCCATTTATATTGAAATTTGTCTTGGTGTGGTCCTGGGGTGCACATGTTGGCCCTGCTCTGCCTTCATGGAAAACCTGCAGTGTCCTTGTGTGAGACAGAAAGTTGGCAGTCTCATTTTTAATCACTTGTAGGTTTGATTTCATCAGTGTTTTTCCAGAGTTTTATTTATGCCTTGTAAAATTTTCCAGAAAGCAGAAAGTCTGTTCAGTCAGGTCACATTGTGAAGGAGATGCCAGTTTGTCCCTCCACAAGTCATCATGACATACTCCCCCTTGTCCCATCCTGCTCTGTCAAGAGGAACTTAAAAATTTCTTGATTTAAGGAATTAAAAATATATAGGAATTAAATACATATAATAAATACATATTCTTAATTCCTATATTTAAAAATATATAGAAATTTTTAAATCTCCTACTACCAATATTGTCCAAGTGGAAAAGGTAACACAGTGTGGGACTCCTAAAAACACACAGCCAATTCTTTCAGAGTGGTCAAAAAGAAAAATCCATACTTTTATGAGCTGCTCTCCCACTCTGTGCCCTTGTGACTGCTGACCCATCTTCCACAGATCTCAGTGAGACACCCCATAATGTGCTGCTGTATGAACCCAGCATGAACATACTGCACTATTCATGAGCACTGTATGTATTAAAATTCCTTCTTGTCTGGGTCAGGAGGTTGCAGTGCCCCACAATGCAGCCCAAGCCATACACAGAATATCCACATTCCAGACATGACCCTGGCACAGCACATGGCTGCAGGTTTGCATGATGGCACAAGAATGTGAGGGGTCCAAGTGGATTTGTTGAACTGGCTCTAACTCCTCTAGAACATCATCTTCCACAGTGAAGGATGGGCCCAAGCAAGACTTCAGAAGGTGAAAAGTGATATGGTTTTTTTCTGAACATCTCTATCCTAAGTTCAAAGTTTGGGCATAAACATCATGTGTTTTCCAGGACACAATTTCAAAGAAAAAACAGAGAATAAAACCTGTACTCCAAAGTCTCATCTCACAACTCATATAAAAATGTTAACAGGGCAGCAGACAGGGCAATGGCACCTTAAAACAATCCTATTTGTAAGAATTGGTATTTGATGAGCAATGCAGCCTGCAGGTTACTATGGCAGCCAGATCCATCACCTAGGTGACCAAGCACCAGTGATATCAACATTAACCTATCCCTACACACAACCTCACACTGTGCACATTACCAGCCTTCCATTTCTTGGAAGTTTCTCTCCATTGCAGCAGATGGACAGTAACAGAGCATATGGGCAGTCTCCAGGAGGGGTGAGCTCTCCTCACAGCACCAGCCTGCCTTGCTAAGGAGGATTATTTTTGACAGCACCACCTGTGGAA